GTACATCATCTTCTTCTTCTTTCTTACTTCTTCTTCTTCTTCTTTCCTTCTCTCTCCTCTCAAGTTCATTCATTTCTTTTTGCAATTGGACGGCATTGTACTTTCTGATGTTTGTATACTTCGAAATTGGCCAGGATCGTAACATAGGCAGAAAAAGGCAAAAAGGTAGTACCTTTGGGGTAGGCCGAAGCAGCGTCTAGAAGTCCTAAGTCTAGGGACTGCAGGGGGAATATCAGATTGCAAAGTCGTTCCCACCAAAAAGAAAGGCAACTGGTAGGCCCTGGAGGCCGCTACTGCTTCGAAGTCACCAGGGGGAGGTGCAGCGGGCAAGTGTATGAGGAGCGCTGAGTTGCTCAGTCTCATTCTACATATGGCCAGGCAGCAATGCTGCTGGACCATGTGCTTGGCTAGTGAAGCGCCAAGCAGCAGCAGCAAGGTGGAGCTGCCGCCCACTCTAGCTATGCACTTAGAGCAAGGGCAACGTAGGAGAAGGGCATGGCTATGGCGAAGAAGTGAGGGACGAAGGAGGATGAAGAAGGAGGAGGCTTACCTCAGCTATGGTGGACTGCATTTTCATCTCCTTGGTTGGTGCTGTGCGTGGAAGGCCCCTGGTTGGGCTTGCGAAGTGAGGAGGACTCAGGAGGATGGGGTAGGCTCGGAGGTAGAGGTGGGGGAAGCTAGAAGAGCTTTGCATTGTCCTTTGAACAGCCAGGCTAGGCCTGGATGCCGCCTCAATAGACGGATGCTCAACCGAGTAGTGATAGGGGGTGTAGGATGTGCAAGGTGACTTCTTGCAATGTCGGCAGTCAGGGGGAGTTTCGCCCATTGATTCTGGCTCATCCGTTCATTGTTATTGTTAATTATTATTAATAAAGATGCTGGTGGAGATGATGCAGGAGAGAGATGCTGGAGAGACGAGGGAGGAGTGACAGTGGTGTGTTCATCATCTTCTTCTTCTTACATTCTCCATTCTTCCTCTTCCCTTGCCTATTTCTCTTTCCAATCTCTCTCATCTGAGTTGCGACTCTTTGGCATTGTTTCTTTTTGAGTTCTGCATTGTGCGATATCCAGGATCATAAAACGTTGTATATGACTTCAGCTTCCGAGAAATTTTAGTTCTCGTATCTCGTGCTTTGGTGTCCAACTCTCGTGTGCTGAAGTGTGATCTCGGTGTGACACAAGATGCTCGTTTGAATAGTGGGATCAAGTCCAAAGACTCCAAACTCTGTTTCCCACGATGGTCCCCAAATGACATCCCAGGTTCCTTGAGACCTCTATTATACCGTAGGATACTGTTCCATCTGCTTCCACTCTTGTCCGAAGACCACCACACAAGAAACAATGGAAACATTTCAAGTAGATGAGCCAAGAGTATCCAAATCCGTTGCAGTATTAGCAGAGGGGGGGGGGGGGGGGGGG